TGTAAAGCGCTTTGGGGTCCCTAGGCGGGACTAGTAAAAAGCGCTATACAAATACAGGCCATTTACCATTTACAGTCTTCTGTGCGAGTTGGCGCATCTCAATTAAATAAATACATGAATATTCCAAAAACTATATTAATCCTGAAAGAAAGAAGAAAAGAAGGTAAAATATTCCCTCCAAACAAAACAAATTCTGAATGCGCAAATCAGTCTGTGCACGATTACATTGGTCACCCATCAAAAACTGACCTGCGTGACTCTCGCCGGTTACTGGACTGATGATTGTTGGTTGGAGAATTTTGACATATCGCCCAACCTTCGTGTACAAATATACAAAACCTGCAGAAACGATGCTGGTCTTTTCTGCTGTTAGTGAGAGGCACAGAAACGACCTCCAGAGTATGATGAAGTAAATAACCGTAGGATAAATAAAACTGAGATGAAGAAACACTAAATTTTAAACGGCAGAAAACCTTTGGAACTCTGACCTGTTTGGAGATGAATGTGGGATCACGGTCCTCCTTGACCACAGATATGTTGCAGTCATTCAGGAAGTGAAGAGCTTCATTGAGTTCAGCCTGCAAACGGGAGGAGAGGCCACTCTTGTCCACATAGGAACCGCAGTCCAACACCACTTCTCTTGGCTGAGAGGCGTATCTAAAACATGACCCTGTATTGTGAGCATTTCACTGCCAACATTACTGGTTTTCAGTCTAGTTTCACATGTGTCACATACAATGGTGTGAAAAAGTTTTGCCCTCTTCCTGATTTCCTATTTTTTTGTACGTTTGTCACATTTAAATGTTTCACATCATCAAACAAATTTAAATATCAAAACAAACACAAGTAAACACAAAATTTAGTTTCTAAATTAAGCTGTTTACCATTAAAGGAGAAAAAAAATCCAAACTTACATGGCCCTGTGTGAAAAACTGAATGCCCCCTAAACCTAATAACTGGTTGGGCCACCGTTAGCAGCAACAAATGCAATCAAGCATTTGCCATAATTGGCAATGAGTCTTTTACAGCATCATGGAGGAATTTTGACCCACTCATCTTTGCAGAATTGTTGTAATTTAGCCATATTGGAGGGTTTTTGAGCATGAACCACTTTTTTAAGGCAATGCCACAGCGTCCCAAACGGATTCATGTCAAGACTTTGACCTGGCCACTCCAAAGTCTACATTTTGTTCTTCTTAAGCCATTCAGAGGTGGACTTGCTGGAGTGCTTTGGATCATTGTCCTGTTGCAGAACCCAAGTGCGCTTCAGCTTGAGGTCACATTCTCCTTCAAGGTGTTTTGGTAGACAGCAGGTTCCACTTACCAAGTCTTCCAGGTCGTGAGGCAGCAAAACACCCGTTCCTATTTCGCGCTTTTCTACTCTGAGCACACGTGTACATTCACACCAGCAGTTTTTTCTGTGCTGTTCCTAACTGTTTTCTGTCCAAGTGGTTTTTAAGCAGCTCACTGAGCATCTGTCAACAAGCAATCTGTATGAACCATTTCAGTCTGCTTGTAGACCAAATCACTCCACAGAAACAGCTTTAGTCAAAGTGGTAAATGATCTGCTGGTAAATGCAGACAATGATCGCACTTCAGTTTTATTACTGCTGGATCTAAGTGCTGCGTTTGACACTGTGGATCACTGCATTTTATTGGATAGGGTTGAACATTTTATTGGAATTACAGGAAATGTTTTATCATGGCTGAGATCTCACCTGTTTGGGAGTTCTCAGACTGTTAGTTTTAAAAATGATCTCTCCGAGACTTGTGCAGTGAGGCATGGGGTCCCTCAGGGCTTCGTACTTGGACCATTGCTGTTTTCTATGTACCTGCTGCCTCTCTTGGTGTTCTTTTACATTCTTTTAATGTAACCTTTCATTGTTACGCTGATGACCTGCAGCTTTATGTTCCTTTAACCATTAGAAATTGTGCTGAAGTCTCTAAACTAGAATGTTGTTTATCTGCAATTAAGGGTTGGTTATCGGATAATTTCTTGCTCCTAAATACTGATAAGACAGAGTTGATGGTCATTGGGCCACACAAATTTCAGCACTTGTCCCAAAATTTCATCTTGAGAATTGATGACAGTGTCATAAATTGCAGGAACAAGGTAAAAAACTTGGGTGTGTGGTTCGACATGGTGCTCTCCTTTGAATCTCATGTAAAAGAGATAACAAAGACCGCCTTTTATCATTTGAGGAACATAGCTAGAATCAGACAAGTTTTGTCAAGCGACACTGCAGAGGTTCTTGTCCATGCATTTGTGTCTTCCCGTATTGATTATTGTAATGCTCTTCTTTCTGGCCTACCAAAGAAAAGTTTTAGAGGTCTACAGATGGTGCAAAATGCAGCTGCTCGCATTTTAACAAGAACTGGGAAATTTGAGCACATTAGCTCTGTTCTGAGATCTCTGCATTGGCTACCTTGTCAGGTTCGAGCAGATTTTAAGGTCCTGCTGCTCACCTACAAGGCTTTAAACGGAT